CAGTGGTGCACACCCATGAACTCTCCAGAAACAAACCGAAAACCCTTATGTTTTGCGATGAACGTTTAACTGTTAGAACTAGTGGATCGTTGTTCAGCAGTGGAATTTCAACTTGAATCGATTCGCGATAAACCATGAAGATCAATCAATACCTTTGTTGACTACTGTTTCACTCCTGATATTTTTAACCTTAACCAATCACAACTTCTCACTAAAGCGTCTTAAAGTAAGTGACCAGCAAGCTGACTATTACCATTCATTTGAAGAAGTTACACGGACATTAGCTTAATTTGTAGGCTATATTCCTTGACTGAAGTCGGTTCCGTTTGCTTTTGATAAGTTTATATATATATATATATATATATATATATATATATATATATATATATATATATATATATATCATTCAGCTCATTAAATTACCCAACCGTCTATTTATAGAAGGGTTTTTAACCCCTGTGGTTTTGATGATGATGTTTGGAGGTTATCAAAACAAGTCATCTGAACATGCACTTCTGACTAGTTGAACCCTATGTACTAATTTATGCCGGCAACTTTGAAAATATGAATACTTCTTAATTTATTAAAGTACTTCCTATTTGGTATCACAGTCACTCATGTTGTCCGTAAGCTATTCAAGTATAAACTGATGCTCTACACTTTCGGCTAAATCTTTCAGTGTTTATGAAGATCAGTTAAGCAAAATAAGTCCCATATATATAAACTTTGAATCAGGGTCACTAACTTAAGGGATTTTACATTAAGTCGAATCATGACTCATGGGAACCTTATTAACCTCGTTTTTTATTCCATTGATTTTAATTTCTTTAAACTGATACTGATAAACCAGCAATATTTAAGTCATTTAACATCGAATTTTACAGTTCAGTAGATTTAAGTTTTGTTCACCGAAAGTTGTAATCAAATGTACATTCATTGAGTTGACTTATGATGAAATTAGGCGAGCAATTCATGCTAATAATTTGAAGACGGAGGAATTAAGAAGGTTAACTTTAGAAAAAAAATAATGAATAACATTTTCACCTCATTATACACAACTGACATAACTAGGTCGTGACATCTAAACATATCGTAATGCATCCAAGTTTAATTTCCACAAATATTTATATCAGTAAAATGGAAATTTATATTTGTAAGTATGTTTATGGAATTTATAGATAAAAAGAGAAATCATTATTATGGTTATGGTGTGAAATAGATGTATATCACGCTAAAGTGCACTATTCAACAATCTGCATTAACACCAGTGAACAGCTTAAGGTCAATAAACGTATAACGTTAAAACAAATTATCGTACTTCTTCAAATTTACTAGATAGCTGATGGCAAGTATTGGTGCACACAGTCATTCAAGCATTTCATTTACTACATAATATCAAATGGCTAACAGTATTTATTAAGAATACAAGTTTATTTTAACCTATTCATATTGTCCACTTAGTCAGCTATGTAGCGTAATAATATTCCAAGATATGCTTAAATACACCAGCAATTCATCGAAAGTTTAATCAGTAGATTTTTATCGCATAAATGGAATATGACTAGCATTGAAGTCCAGAACGTTAGTTTCATTCTATTTAGGACTTTGAAATACACGCACTCCATTATTCTAGTCTACATGTGAACGCAAACGTTGCCTTTCATTTCAAATGCCAACGCGTCATCCACTGACCTAATGAATCCAGATAACCACTAGCTTGTGCAATAGCTATGGGTTTTAATTTAATTTGTAATAATTTGTATTATCCCCTTGTTGATATACTTAACCGAATTTTGATCAATCTCAGTCGGAATATGCACGTATTGTGCGAGTCGTGTCGAAACAATCATCACGTTACAAGCTTGTTGTAGAATAAATAGCTATACTGAAGCAGCCCGTACAGGATGTACCTGTCCCAACTAAGACTGATCAAAATTTAGTCGAGTATATCAAAAACAGAATAATGCAAATCATTTCAAATTAAATTTTATACTTAGGGATTTATAATTATTCAGTTATCTATATTGAGGACTGAATATTGATCAATCTTTGCTGGTATACATAAATTCTTAACGAATGCTCAAATCGAGCGTTTTCCTAGTGTTTAGCATATATCGATTGCGAAAAGAATTGAACTCCGGAATCCCAACTTGGCTATCTGTGAGATTTTCCTGCACTACATACTTGAATCCTAGTGCTGGTAATCATACTAAAACTCTGATGGAGTAACTATCAAATCAAATGCTAATGTATTATTTACTAAGTAAGTGCAGATAGACACTAATCATGATGCTTTACCATCAGAGGTTTTATTATCACATTTTTAATATTCATCATATTCTATATCAGCTGAATATTAATAAATTTATTTCGCTTTTACACAACGATATTTTCTGTCACGATTTGTTATCAACCGGAAAAGTAAAAGTATTAGAATTGTGTTTTGTCGTAGTTCGAAATGGAAGTTATCTTCAAATAATACAGACCATGTAAGCAAAAGACATAATTAAAAGATTCCTAGAAGTCAGAAGCCATTACTTCAAATAATTAAAGTTTTAACAATGAACAAAATGAAAAATAAACTAGTAACTGAATGGCTTTTGTGATGATAAGAATAATAGCCCCTTTTTTGTCTGTATTAACCGAAAATTTGCCATTATTATGATCACAGCTTTGCTCACAATGAGTGCTACATTTAACACCAAATACAGTGAACCAAACTCTCAAATGGAATTATCAATCCACTTTGAACTAGCTTACATAAATTTCAATTCGACGTATTTTAACTATGTACCCTATTTTAATTAAAAGTGGAATAAAACATATAAGATGATAAATATACTAATGAATGTCAACAGGGATGTAGTTCTTAAGACATATCAAATCTTCGAATAAACATTGTAAATGCACATAGTAAAAATTCTATTGTTTATCTCCGCACTACTAACAATACAAATTTTAGGTCCTTAATACTGACAGAATGCTATCAGTCATTGACATTTACCCAAATCAGTTTATGATTTCATTTATCATACATAAATCTTCAATCTATACAAATTATGAAATATAAAAGGAATCAATCAAGAATCTACAAAATTATGTATATTCTCTCAGAGTTGCCAAGTTGAATTAATTCTGTAGTTTTGTAAAACACTTGTGAAGTTTTATTCACCTAAGATTTTTAACCATTTTTTCCTAATACTTGCTAATTTATGTTAATTACTAATTTTAATTGTATCCACGGGAAATCAGACCCGTTTGTTTCTATAATTCAAGTTAACGTATTCTGAATCTATCTGGGTATGTGTGTCTGTCTTTTTTCTACTGTTCAACAAGGCATTACAATGATGTAGAAATTAAAAATGTGTTCCATTCAGAAACGAAAACAAATATGTCCTTAATTACTTACTTACATACCTACTTACTTACTTATTTACTTACACCTGTACCTCTCGTGGAGGAGAATAGGCGGCCCACCAGCGTTCTCTATCGAGCTCAGTTCTGAGCAAACCCTTTCAGATGTTTCCAGTTTATAATCATCCCTTTAATTTCCAACGCAATATGTTCTTTAGCCTTCCTCTTTTCTGTTTCTTTTCAGAATTCCAAGTCATCGCTTGCTTCGTGATGCAGTTTATTGATTTCCACAATGTATGGCCTATCCAGTTGCAGAATCTTTCCTCAATTTACCCTTCATCTGGAAGTTGGTTTGTTCTCTCCCACAGTAAGCTGTTACTGACGGTATCCGTCCAACGGACGTTGAGTATCTCGCGTAAACAATTGTTTATAAATACTTGTACTTTTTCGATGATGGTCGTAATGGTTCTCCATGTTTCACCTCCGTACAGTAGAACTGTCTTGATATTCGTATTGAAGATTCTTACTTTGATGTTGGTTGACAGTTCTTTCGAGTTCTATATGTTCATCAATTGTAGGAATTCTGCCCATGTTTTGCCAATCATCGCCTGTACGTTTGTATTAGATCATCCTTGTTCATTGATGATGCCGTCCTCGTATATCAGACTTTCCACCCATTGCAAAGTTTCTCCATCAAGTGTGGTTAATTGATGCTCTCTGTGTTGCATCTCAAGACCTTTCTTTCTCCCTAGTGTATGTTGAGGTCTACTGCTGTAGAGGCTACTGCTACATTGGTTTTCATCTGAAAAGTCGAAATCGTTTAGCCGCATCCAAGCTGTTTGCTGTATTCTGTGCTTCCCACAAGAAGAAAAAGAAAGGGTGAGAGTGAACAGCCTTGTCTGGCATCGGCCCTTACTTGGAATTCATCTGTCAGATGTCCCTCATGAACAACTTTGCAGTATAGTCCTTCGTATGATGTTGACAACCTTCTAAGATACACCACAGTGTCAAAAAAGGTTTCACAAAGTCCTCCTATCCTACTGTCAAACTCTTTCCCATAGTCAAGAAATTTGATTTACAGTGATGAATTCCATTCAGTTGATTGTTCAACAATGATCCATAATGTCACGATTTAGTCTTCACACGACTGATCCTTATGCAATCCATACTGTTGATCTTGAGGCTAGGCGTTTACTGAATCTCTCATTCGGTCCAGCAGTACTCGGTCAAAAACTTTTTCTGGCACTGATTTGCTCAGATTTCATTTCTTTGGTATCATAATGAAGTGTCCTTATTTTCAATATGTCAGCACTTGTTCCTCCTCTCAAATCTTCCTGAATAGAATGTGGAGCATGTTTACAGTTGCTTCATCTGGTAGGTAGTCTAATCATTCTGCTTTCCCATTCTCGACTTGTCTGGTTGTCATACTGATTTCTTTGGTCGTTGGTGTAGTGAAAGCTATAAGAATGTCTGTATGTTCTAATTAGATGTCTGGTGTGTTCATTGTAGTTGATCTATTCAAGAGCCCTACTCACCTGTTCCACTATTCTTGAGTCTTAGTGATTGACTTTACCTCTTTCTTTTTGATTGGTTGTTTTTGTTATATCATATAGCTGTTTCATATTTCTCTCTCTTGCAGCTTTTTTCTACGTCATTACTAACTCTTCCATATATTTCTGCTTGTCTTCTCTAACACTCCACTACACTCACTTGTTCGCTTCTGTGTATACGGTCTGTATCTTGGTTTATTCAATAATGGTAAGAAATTATATTATATTATCAACATTTGAACAAACGTGATTTATTTGATCGCAATTGTTTTAGAAATGGTGGTTTTGAAGAAAACAGTGTTATGTATGACTATCATTAAATATTGTTCAATTTCATATATTGCTGATAATCTAATTACAACTGTTCTAATACTTATATAGTATTTAACGATTCAGAACTAGTTGATATTTGCTTAGTACGATTTTCTCGGTATTCCATCAAATTACCACATATTTAAATTGTGTTCAAGCATGAATACAATAGAATGTTTCAGATGTTGTGAAATCATAAATATCTTTTACTTGTTTCTCGTGAGAAAATATATATTTCAGGATGATAACATCCATATTAAAGATATTTTGGTTAATACATATGATAAACTATCATTCCTAGTACTTGATTTATGATTTAGCTATTCTGATTAATCACAGAACATAAACCTCTGTCATGTTTGTTTAGTCCTCAGCCCTGATTGAATTTTATCTTTAATAGCTTCTTGTCTATTGCTTCAAAATTACCAAACATTATAATTACTGATACTTTTCAGATAATTTTTACAATCAGCAATAAATATACTCATAATCACACAAAGACAATCTCTCAACTTTTCAAAAAATCGATTCGAACATTAACTAACCGCTGATATATATGAGGTTAGATTTCGCCAATTATTCAGAACAAATATCATTAAAATAATATTCAATACACAATGTATCGAATAAATTCATGTCCCCTATACTTAAAGCTAACTACTTAATAACATTTTTTCAAACAAGATAATATATTCAAAGTTCTATGTCTTTTATTTACTCGTGAAATGAGAGAAATTTTTTGTTAATTTCCAAAACACTAACCTCCGGAGGGAAAAAAATTCCATAGAGAAAAAAGTTTGGCGAGACTATAATTTATAGACGAACCAATCAGGTATAAGATAATAGGTCTCGGATGTTGACGCGAAATTCATTCATCTATTTGGGTAAATTGAGTTTTACCATTATAGCTGGTATCAGTTCGTGATGAAAACCCTAAATCTAATTTTTTTTACCTTAACTATCAAATGCAAATCATAATTCTATTTCCTTATACTGGTTTATAACCCTCATTTGGTCCTGGTTATTAAGTGAACACTCTCAAAGTCACTTTAGTATCACTCAAAAGTCGTCCATAAATTATAATCTTACAGAAAATTTCTTTTAAAAAAATTGTTACACACCCAGGAAATTGTTAAATTGATATCCGATAGTCCTATTAAATATTGAATCGCTTTTATTCAATGAAATAAACTACGTTTTTTCACGCTTCATGGATCATTTATTTGTTAAGAATAATTTTTTAATATTCTATATACAATTTTTTCTATATCAGTCAGTCAACTATTCATAAATACGTTTCGTTTTATGTTCAGTTCATTCATTTTTTCATGGTGTCATAGAAATCATCCACCGCTTTTAATTGATTTCTGTTTAAGCCTCAACTACACAAACAATGAAATTCACTAGCATTGATCCATAATATGAGGCTTAGTATAAGTTTTTAATGGTCAGCAAGACATATCAGCAAAGTTCGAAGAACGGATGATAAAAGTTATATAAAAGTGAAACTCCTCACCTAAAATATTATAGATCCGATTCGGTGACGAATACCAATATGTACTAAACCTAGGCTTAAAGCATTCTATCGTTAGCTAAAAGCGTTTACAAACACCTCACTTAGTTACTTGATTATAACGTCCTCTGTAAAATGTAACTAATACCAACGATCATATAATATGATATGAATTACTATCTTAAGGATTCTACTCAACTAAATTAAATTCGTTTTCTCCATCTCAAACATTAAAACAATTAACATGTTACTGTTGACACATATTTCGTTAACAATTCTCTGTCCTGAATTGTAATCGATGAAACAAGGTTGCCTAACGAATAGTTGGTGGTCTAATCCAAATAATGTCAAAGATAATGTTCCAACTTTAATCAGATGTTTATCCCCCCGCCCCAAAGAACAACTTTAATACAGTAAAACTGACAGAAAAGTTTCTACTTTCTGAATAAATGTTATTCAATGAAATAAAATACTTTTTTTCACGCTTCATGGATCATTTATTTGTTAAGAATAATTCTTATTTTTATATTCTAAACTAAGTCTATATACAATTTTTTCTATAGCAGTCAATCAACTAATTATAAATACGTTTTGTTTTATGTTCATTTCATTCATTTTTTAAATGAGAAAGACTTATTCGTTGAATACTTAGAATACTATTTTCTGGAAGTTGGTTCAACCCAGTTTTTCTTTTGTAAAGAATCTAAATATCGAAAGTTAATTGAATAAAATACTTATATTTGGCTCCCATCATATAATGATACCAATTATGTGATCACTAAATGCAGGAAGTAATGAATAATTGTTTTGTTTCTTTACAAATCTTTTCAGTAATGAACACCCATAATAGGAAAAAAGTTTTGAATTCAAGATTTTTTAGGCACTACAGTGTTCATTGTGTACAAAAACCATTGACTAAGAATCAAACCATGTCTTTTATCAATTCAAATCAACTTCAGGAATTTATTCAGAAGTGAATAAACAACCCAAACTTATTTACAGTTTGGTTATTGCAGATCCTTTTAGATTGGAATTGATTTTTGTTAAGGATTGATTTGAATTATGGAATCTATTCAAACTCAAATGATGGTCATAAGTGAGGAATAATAATTTTAATCAAAATTAATATTTACAAATCAGTGAATGAAACACTATAAAACATATCTGTTATCTACAATGACCATCCTGAGTCAATTCTATGTTCCATTAATACTTATACTTTTTAAGTAGTCAGGTTCCACGTAAAACTAACAATTAATGTAAGAAATATGCGACCTGTTGAAAATGTAATTTGCTTGGATAATATACATTCTTCATAACACACAGGGACTTCGTTTATTCTAAAACGTTTCTTATGACAATTTAAAAATGACCATAGCTTCCAGTGTTCCTTAGTAAACTATCTTATAACAGAAAACGTAGCTTACTCAACAAATTGATTACATATTTCGCATAAATCTCACTGAAATAACCTACAATTGGAGACTAGTCAATAACTGAAAGTAGAAATGGACTGACTGATCAGATGTTACGAAATAATTCACACCTTGAAGAATGCCGTAAGGTACAGATAATAAAAGTAAACCTAAGAGTAAATGACCAAAGGCTACTTTAAAACTTATCTGTGAGATGATAAGCAAACAATAAAATGATACGAACTAATTGTCAACCCACAGGCAGCATTATTTCTTAGATATTCTAATGCTATCTATGCCAGTGATAAAAATTTTTTTAACAGATGTAAAATGTTCACATTAACAACAACTGTAGATTTCATTGATTAGTTAAGTAATTTCGTGACAATCCCCACTAAACTTTAGTTGTGCAGCCAATATTCCCCAACTGTTATAAGAACCAATCATGATTCATTCTGTCATGATGTATAGTAATGAAATACAAAGGAAAATATATTTCGAAAAAGAAACTTTAAAGTATAACAGTTCTAAAACTTGTACATAATTACTCTGTGTATATTATAATAGCTTTGTACGATGTTTAGCTAATACCTATGTTGTTAATGGTTAATGGACACTAAATTTGATGAACATATTGCACATTGCATAATAAATCGCAGTTACCACCATGCTGAACATCAAGAATAGTAGTCTATATTGATCTGTAGTATTAAGTAAGAATTTCCAATCTATTTTTAACTGTATGTATATCCATGTCTAACTCCGTTTTGAAGTTAAATTCATAACAAGTGGATGATAAAGTCTTTAAGTCAACAGTTTTAGAATCATTATTTGATTAGATGATTTTTAAAGCCTTAGATGTCTATCAACAACAGTTACTTATTTTAATCTAAATGTCTATTGATGGACATTTTCCATACGGATATATGAATCAATTTTATGTGAAAATCCATTAGATCGTTTTTACTGATCTGGCTTTAAAAAAAACTAAATTTCTTACTTTTGACCATATGCAAAAATCAGAACATTCATCAAAAAGTTTTACTGCAGCTTGGAAATCAGTAGTTAACTATCTTCCAAAAACCGAATCACCAACTTTTTAGAATCATGGTTAAACATGTAGTTTATACCATAGGAAATTCATATGTATTACTTTTACCCTTTACGATACTGGTTTTACAATTTTCCATCAATCGCCCAAATACAACTCAACATTTTGATGATTTTGTATTGAATAAAACTCCACCAGAATCATCTACCTGGGCTACTAATCTCCACAGCCCAACATCTCGTAATACTTGAAAATATGGAACTGAGTTGAAATAATAATTGCTGATAACTTACTTTTCCCTAACCATCACATATAAAATTACAGCGCGACAATTTTTACACCTTTTAAAATATTAATATTTATGGTAAACTATATCATTTGGAAGAATATTCAAGTACTTTGCTAGTGAACGACGTTCAATTGTTGAAATCAAACTTTAACTTTCTTGTGAATGAATACTCAACAGTAAAACAATGTCTTGTAATTCACAAAAAATAACCGATAGTAACACTTAACTATTTAAAATGTAATCCTAAAAAGGTATAGGAATCCCAGTTTTTCATGGGGACTTAAAAATTTAGATATAATCAACATTGAGGAACTGATTGACATTAAATAATTAGTTTATATACTGGTATAAAACATTTTGATTCTCCAAAACAACTACATATTGATTTTAGTGGTATGAATCATGTCATATCAAGATAGTTGACTGACATACTTTCTATTCTAGAACTACACTGTCTATATAAAAAATATTTCATTGTACATCAAAAGATGAACTAAACAATAAATATTATAAGATGCTGTTGGCATCATTATAAAAAGAAATAAAGAAAAATTGCAACTGTGATTTCCAAACATTTGGTAATTAATTACAAAAATAACCGTTGAAACAAATGGGTATTTTATAAAAAGCCGTTATGAATAGTAAAATAGGGAGGAATTAAAAAAAACTAATTTTCATCGAAACTAGTTTTATCTGAAGGACGAATAACAGCTAGGAAGCATCAATCATAAGTTTCATCCTAGATTAAAACCAAGTAAATGTCTCCACTTATCACTCATTAAAAAGAATAAAACTCAGGATATTTAGGTTCCTGTTATAAGTTGTGGTCTTGTGCCCTATTATTATATATCACGTAATGATACCGCCAATTAGAGAACAGTGATTTATCTACTGGACCAATGACGTACGAGCAGTCTATAGTCCTGCCTAACTCTGCCTGTTGTGTCCAAAACACCAATTTCAGCATATGCAACATGAATCATATATTTCAAAAATACTGGATTTATATACAATCCAATCAGAACACGTCGTACCATACAATAGAAAATAACATTTGTACAAATTCTAGCCAAAACTGGCTATGAATGTGGGAGATGGTAATTGATAGACTGGGTATAACTCAAGAATGATAAATCGTATCATAATAGTTCATAAGTCAAAATAAACCTTATAGTAAGAGGAACATCAGCGTGAATAGTTTAATTACTTAACAATTACACAACTAGAAAATACGTATAATATTACTCTAGAAATAAATTCCAACAATTATCATTCATTATTCACATCAAGATCAAACAATTCCATAGCAACGTTTTTAGTTAAAATTGTTTAAAATTCAGCTGATTGTCAACAGAGACGAACACCACTTAGTATTGTTGGTAAATAAATGTTTTTAATTTGGGGGGGTTTGAAAGTGATATGATGAAAAGAAAAGTCAATTTTCGATTGATTTACTCACTATGAGTTTTATTCAACATTACTTCCCTTCTGATTCAATGTAATGATCATTCAGTGTAGTATTTCATTTGTTTTCCCAATATGATATTTTCTTCTGTATAATATACGATATTCTTGTATTTAGTTGACATGAACTATGCTCAATAAGTGGTTTGTTATAACTGAGTATGTGATCTAATCCTAAGTATTAATCAAAATGAGTTTTGTGAATGCGAATTGCTGAGGAGTCCCATACTATGACGAAACGGCCGTCCAGTGCTTCCAGGTTTTCCATGGCGGTCTAGCTTCAACTGACTCATGATTTCAACCTGTGAAATTTCCTAAGTATTAATCAAAATGGGTGTACAATCAATATATAAACCAGTGTATTTTAGACTATTTTTGATTGGTTGTCGTCATAGTGTTTTGGGGCTAATAAATCTTCATTTATACCAGTCTTGTGTTCTTACTTTCGCATTGTGGGAATTGCCGAGGTCTCTCGTTCCGAGTATAAGTGATCAATGTTTTTATGGGACAGCAATCAGCGACGACCGAATATAACAGAAAGTTAATGAATTAATTATCCCAAATAATTGTTTTTGTTTGTAAATCACTTTCACATATAACACATTTCACACATTAACAAAATTTATTGGTTTTTTTTCTTTTCACAAATATAAAAAACCAAGATGATTTTTTTGGTTTTGTAATTTATTCTTTATATAAATTCATAAATTATACCTTTACAGTAATTTTACCTTTACATGGAAACAATAACTTACTAATGTAATATACCATTATCATTTAATCATTAATACATTTTACCATAATTTATTGTAATGAATAATAAATACACAAAAAATTCTAATTGATTTCTATGAATTACTAACTATAATGAATCTAGTGTAATAATTTTGCCTCCAAATGCCCTGGTATGGCCGAGAGTGGGATGAACCCGCCCTCCCTCTCGAAATACTCTCACACGGCCACGCGTATACAGCCTCTGAAAGGGAAATCCTACTCACTGCCTTCTCGTGGCGGGGCTGTTGTTTACGAAAATGAGAGGACGGAAAGCGAATGTCCGGCGCTTTAACCGGATTCCAAACCAATGGTGCACATGGGTTCCAGTATCCTGAGGGAACAAATGGCGTATGAATCAATCGTTGGTCACCGGCTAGCATAGGACTGCATCTCCTTACGATGCTCCACTGTCTTGTGGGTTAGACCTCTAGGTCAAAGGCTCCGGGTGTGGCCCTTTAAGAAAACCCCCTGCTTCGGTCTGGGCACCCGGGCGGTATCACAGCCCCCACACAAAAGTGTGGCGCATATATATTTGGTGCCCTCTTGTACCAATATTTATGTGTTCAAACAAATAAATAAATAAAATGTAATAATTTAAATAATATGGAATGTAAAGAAGATTGTAATAAACGAATAAGACTATGATTTGATTTTCATGACAAATATTATTTTATCGGAAGGGGTTTTATGGCGATTTTAGAAATTTCACCGGTTGAAATTATGAGTCAATTGAAGCTAGACCACCATAGAAAACATGGAAGCACTTGACGGCCGTTTTGTCCTAGTATGCTTCCATGTTTCCCGTGGTGGTCTAGCTTCAATTGACCCATGATTTCAACCAGCGAAATTTCTAAAATCTCCACAAAACCCCTTCTGATAAGAATCATCTGCTCACTTTTGACTAACTTCAAGAGATACTGCTGAAGTTCTAGTGGGGAGCCGTTACCCGTTGAGTTCAACCAGGTATGTTGTGAGATATCAACTCACTGAAGAAAATGGTGTACGGTGGCGTAACTTCGTGGATTGGTTGAAGTTAGACATTAACACCGTTAGATGCCGGCTCGGTAGTCTAGTGGGTAAGTGCTCGCGCGCGAAACCAGTAGGTCCTGGGTTTGAATCTCGCAGGGGGCGAGGTCATGGATGCGCACTGCTGAGGAGTCCCATACTAGGAGGAAACGGCCATCCAGTGCTTCCAGGTTTTTCATAGTGGTCTATCTTCAATTGACTCATGATTTCAATCAGTGAAATGTTATTCTATACCATAATACACATGTAAACTGAATAACAACAATCACAAATATATTAGAAAAACAATCTACAATCAATAATGTAAAGAAGCATTATAAATCAATCATAATTGACTGAAATAAAAATGAAATACCATAAGTGAACTATTCCCCTTTTTAATTCTTATTTATTTAGTAAATCAACATAGTATTAAGATTAGTCATAAATAAATGTGTGTATATATGTAAGAAAGAAAAAGCGTTTACAAATAATAAATCATCTTGTAAACAAGCAATAATAGAAAAAAATTATGTTTACTTGTTTAATTTCATTGTATGTTTGTTTGTATGTTCATTTATTTTGCCACATTTTGTACTCTTTGTTTTCAATTATTTTTTTACTCCCTTTTTTGTTTTTGTTTCTGATGATAATGATGAAGATGATGATGATTACGATGATGATGATGATGATGATGATGATGATGATGATGATGATGATGATGATGATGATGATGATGATGATGATGATGATGATGATGATGATGATGATGATGATTCGAGAGGAAAATACATAAACTGTTGCTTTTTCGTACACTAGCAACTAAAGTATATGTATTATTCAATAGATTTCAACAAAACTAAGAAATATTA